TTACCTTATCTGGAAATTTCACGCCAATTTTTATTTGTTCATGTTCCAACACGGTAGAACATGTCAAATTTATCAACAGATATAATATACTTCAGTTATGTGCCATGCGTGATAGACGCTTAGGTGATCATGTATCTTTCGCTACATGACTGACAAAAGAAGATTTTTTTCCCTGCAGTAAGTTGCCATTTCTTTCTGTGGTAGAACAGTTGTCATCCAAGGCTATAGAACCTGGTCTGTCCTGCTATTTATCCACAGCTAGCAGGAGAAGAGGATTCATATCTTTCCCAAGGGTATTGGCACATAAGTAAATATAATGGATTCAACTGGAATTCAAACTCGGCTCTCCAATTCCTCAATCCGAACCACTATCCATTACTCCATCATGTCTCCTTACATTTCCAATTAGAGCATACTTCAAACTATCGCTTCAGAAAGAAAGTTTAAAATTATTTAATTCATGTCAATTTTGCACCCTAATGAAAATCGAAGATTATAAGGTGCATTTTAGACTCTTGATGGTTTTTTTTTTTACTGCAAAGTCAGAAATGCCGTACAAGCAAGAAAAAAGATATGTGCTCTGTACAGTGAGGGTACTTTAGCTGTCAGAACTGTACTGAAGTGGTTTACTAAGTTTAGCTTTATCGATTGTAGCCTTATTGATAAAGAACGCTCAGGCAGACCTCCTCCCACTACAGATGATGGCCAAATCAAGATATTGATTGAGAATAACGTGCATTACACAACAAGGGAATTGCCAGAAACACTAAATTTATCATAATCCACCATCCATGAGCACTTAGTGAAACTTGGGTACTCAAATCATTATTATATTTGGGTACCACATGATCTAAGTGAAAAGAATCTTTTGGATCACATTTCATCTGTGATTTGCTGTATAAACACAATGAAAAGAGGTAGAATTGACAAGACTTTCAGACCACCCTGTAGATATTGATGCAAAAATTTTTAAATATGCATTTAATGTTATAAAATCTTTAGCTTTCAGCAACAGTTGTTTTATGCTGAATAACAGATAAAAATGCAGGAGTGTCCATTAAATTTAGACATTATATCTCTATCTCTATAATTCTCAAAATGTGTGTGTGTATGTATGTGTGTGAGAGATCGGATGTTGTTTATGTCTTTCCACAGTTTTCATCCGATTTCAATGAAATTTTTTTGTTTGATAGATAATTCTTCAGTGCCGGTTTTGAGTCCAAATGGTTGGCATCAATGGCTCTCTACTACTTCCTGTCTATTATAACGCTCAGCAATGTTTTACTATTTAATATCTGTTCTTGGATATATATCTTTCATAAAAACTTTAATAAAAATAAATAGTTTAAATTATTACAGTAATATTATCTATATCTATAATTCTCAAAATATGTGTGTGTGTGTCTGATTGGATGTTTATGCATTTCCACAATTTTCATCCGATTTTGATGAAATTTTTTTGTTTGATAGATAATTCTTCAGTGCCAGTTTTGAGTCCAAATTGACTGGAAAAACTTACAACCTTGAAGGTGAAAAATTGAAAAAACTGAATTATTTTACATTTTGCTCAAAAATCAAAGGCAAAATTTAATGTCTGTAAAAAACAACATACAATCAATTTAGAGAGTTAAAATCTAACGCAAAAGATTATTAGAATTATAAAAAAAAAATAATATTATAAATAAAAATTATTGTGTATTGTTATTATGACGGTCCACAGAAGGGGCTCCTTCCTTGCAAGATTGAGAACACAAAAATGGGCCTTTTCAGGGCCACACCCTATTCAAATTATTAACCCCCCACCATTTGGGGATGTGCCTCAGTTGCACCCAGTTGTTGTTACTAATATTGATTTTTAGGTGGTCTGACTTAAACTGGTCCAATTGAATGGCAAAAATTCCCAATAATGAAACACCTGGTTGAAGATGGGTTATACTGCTAGTATAAAATAAAGTTTGTCATTGTTCTGAAATTTTACAAACTTGTTTTAATCTTAGAAGTATTACAAAATAAGTTATGAGGAATAAGACTAAATTAACTTTGCCTTGTAGGGTGGAGTAATGACTTCCATATTCATTTTGTTCAATTGACAAGAATATGACTCACCAAGAGTTTTGTGCTGTACTATTTAAATATTTCTTCTACTCTTTCTTTATTTAAAATTTAAATTTAGTGTATATCTATATTTTGTATGAAGCAAGTTTATTAAAATATAAAACAAATGACAACCATGAATGCTTATATTGATAAAACATTTGAGAGTTTGTTTAATTTGCACAGTGTCAATAAAAGATTTTGCCTTAATGCTTAAATGATAATCAGAAAATAAAAGAAGAAAATCTATAGAGGAAGTTCTTCATAAAAACTGCTTTTCTACCAATATGGCTGTTAATGGCATAAAAGATAAGTTTAGTCAATATCTACATTTATTCTAATATTAAGATTAAAACTAGTGTGTAAAAATATCAGAACAATAAAAGACAAAGATAAAGTATACATATAGACAAAAGAGAATATCTTGCTAGTTGCCATCAGTAGTTAAATTTGTTCTTTTACTCTAATGAAATTAAACCTTTGACAGGCATCACATTTAAATAATTTATTCTCTTTAGTGTGTGTGTGTATATATATATATATATATATATATATATATTTTCTTAATTACACAGCAGTCCTTTCAGTATGTATGTGGGCACGCCTAATGTATGTCATTTGTATATGTTATTGTGTATGCGTGTATATGCATGCAAAAAATTTTTCCTTTTCCCAAAATTTTTTTTTAATTTTAAAAAACCAAAAAAATTTTATTAAAAAAAATTTTTTTTAAAAATTAAAAATAAAAATACAAAAAAAGGGGAAAAAAAATTTAAATTTTTTAAAAACTAATTTTTTGGGGGGAATTATTTTTTTTTAAAATTTAAAAATTGCTTTTTCTATTAAAAAAATTTTTTTTTAAAAAAAAATTTTTTTTTAAAAATTTTTTTAAATTTTAAATTTTTTAAAAATTTTTTTTTTTGAAATTTATAAAAGATTTTTTTTATATGATTTATTTTAAGATTTAGGTTTTTTTTTTTTTAAAAAATTTTTTTCGAAAAATATTTTTTTTAAAAATTTTAGTTCATTTTTTTGGGGAAGGACCCCCTCCCCCGGGGGAAGGCTCCCAACCTTTTGGTAAAGGATCCCCTTTTCCTTTTTTTTTAATTTTTCTTTAAAATTAATTTTATTTCTTTAAAACCCCAAAATCTTGAAAGGGAAGGGGGGAAAAAAAAATTTTTTAACCCGGGTAAAAAAAAAAAAAAAATTTGAATAAACAAAATTATAAACTTTTTAATTTGTAAAATTTAAAAAAAAATTGTTTAAACCAACCCAAAATGGAATTTTAAAAAAAATAAAATTTAATTACCATTTTTAAGGCAATAGTTTTTTGGGGGTTCATTAAAAATTTTTAAAATTTTCACATTAATTCCCCACTTGAGTTGTTTTTCTTTTGGGGAAATTTTTTCCCTTTTTCAAGGGAAATTTTTTAATTTGAACCCCCGTGGGGTGGTCTTTTCATCTGTTAACTTTTTAATTCTTCTTTTTTTTTTTCCCTTTTTAAATCTTTTTTTCTTGTTTTTTTAAAAGTTTTTTTCCATTTTAACCCCCCCTTTTTTTCTTTTTTCTAATTTTCCCAACTTTTGGGAGGACGGTTTTTTTAAATTTCCAACCTAAAAACTAAAATTGTTTTTTATTTAAAAACGGTGGGTCTGTGGGCCCCGGGGTTTTCCCCTTTTCCGGCCCTTAATTTTTTTTTCCTTCCCCTTTTTTTTCACCCATTTCCTCATATTGGGGGGCCAACCCCCCCGGGTCTCGTCGGTACCGCTTTTTTTGGATTTGACCGGAAATTTTTCTTTTTCCAAACCCGGCGACTTTTAATTTTTTTCCCAACAGGGGTTTTTTTTTCTTTTTCCAAAAATTCGGTAACGTTTTTTAAAAACAAAATTAATTTTTTTTTTCCCTTTTTAAAAATACCTTTGGTTTTTTCAAATTTTTAAAAGCCCCCTAATTGATTTTTCAAAAAGGATTTTTTCCTTTTTGGCCTCGGGCCCCAAAATTTCCCCTTTTTCCCCCTTTTTTTTTTCCCCTTGAAACCAATTTTCTTGTGTTCCCTTTTTTCGGTTTTTAATTTTTTTGGCGATTGTTTTCCCCCCCCCCCAAAACCCAAAAACTTTTCGTTATTGAAACCGTTTTTTTATCTAAATTTGGTGTCTTCCTGAAAAGGGTTGGGTTCCCCCCCAATTTTCCCCCATAGCCCCCTTTTAATTTTAGGGTTTTTCCTTTTCTTTTATTTTTTAATTTTTTTCCTTGTTTAAAACCAAAAACCCCCTTTTTTTACTACTCCCCTAATTTTAACCCAAATTTTTTTTCTCTTTCCCCTTTTTTTTTTTTTTTTTTTCCTTTTTTCTTCCTTGCAAATTGTGGTTTTTTTAAACTTTTTTTTCCCTTAAAAAAATCCCTTTTGTCCGAGTAAAAAAAAATTTTTTATATTTTGAATTTTAAATTTAACAAAATTTCCCCTTTCAAAAATTTCTTGATAATTAAATAAAAAATTTTGCCCAGGGTTTTTTTCCCCTTTCTACTTTAATAAGGGGTAATTTTTTCCTTTTTTTTTTCTTTTTTTTTTTCTTTTTTTTTTTTTAATAAATAAATTTTTTTTTTTTCTTTTTCACAGAAATGGTTTTTTTTCTTTTTTTTCTTTTAATAAATTTCTTTTTATTTTCTTTTTTTAAAATAAATTTTTTTCTTTTTTTTTAAAAATTTAAATTTTTTTATTTTCTTCTTTCCATCTAAAATGTTTTTTCTTTTTTTTTTGTTCTACATCTAAAGTTTTTTTTCTTTTTTTTCAAAATTTTTTTTTTTTTCTTCTTTCTAACAATAAAATTTTTTCTTTTTTTTTTTTCTTTTTAAAAAATGTTCTTTTTTTTCTTTTTTAAAAAATTTTTTAAATTTTTTTTAGGGAGATGTTTTTTCCTTTTCTTTCAATGTTTTCTTCTTTTTTTTCCCGACCCCCCCAACCCCCCTTGGTCTTTAAATTTTTTGGCCTGGATAAAAAAAATTCCCGACCCCCGGTTTTTGTCCTTTGGGTTGTTTTTTTTTTTTTTAAAAATTTTTCCCCGTATTGAATGTACCCTCATTTTTCCAATTTATGATCTGTAAATTTTCCGAAACCCCCCCTTTGATTAATTTATCCTAGATCCAATCTTTTTTTTTTTTCAATTTTCCCTTTTTTTTGGGAATTAAATCTCCCTTTCCCCCTAATTCTGTCGTTTCCCCCAAACCTTGAAATTTTTCTTCTATTTCTTACTTTAATAGGGGAAAAGGGGGCCCCCAACCCGAAACCCTTACCCCCCGGGAAATTTTCCATTTAATTTTTTTTTTTTCCCCCATTTAGGGGGGGACCCCCACCCCCCCGAAACATTTTGGGGTGGGGTTTTTAAATTTTCACGAATTTTTTTTGTTTTTTTCCCTCTCCCAAACTTCTTATGAAGCTTTGTTAATTTTTAATACCCAAAGGGGGGGTTTTTTTTGGAATTTTTTCTCCCTTCAAAAAAAAATTTTTCCCCTTTTTTATGTAGTTTCCCCAATTTTTACCTTGCTATCACAAATAACTTCCCAATTTTACTTTCTGCCACTTCCTAATCTTTTCAAAACCCCTTTTCTTACCCCCTTTTCAACTAACCCTACTTTTTTTTAGGGCCCCCCCCCCAAAAAAAGGGGCCTAAAACCCCCCTTTTCCCGCCCCTCAGGTGAGCCCGACCCATTATAATTCCATTCCTGGATTTGAGCCATTAAATTTTTCCAAAAAATTTTATTTGAAGTTTTTTCCCCCAAAATTTTTTCTCCCTTTTCCCCCGGGGTTTTGGGTCCCCCTTTTTCTTTTTTTTAACCCCCTCCAATTTTTCCCCTTTCTTTCTTTTTTTTTTCCTTTTGAGTTTTCTTTTTTCACCCTTTCTTTGTAAATTTCCCCTGTTTTTTATCCTTCTTGGGCTGGGGGTTTTTACCCTTTCCCCCCCCTGCGGGATTTGCCTTTTCTGCTTTTTTTCCGATTCCCCTTTTCCCCTTTTTTTTTCCCTTTGGGTTTTTTTGTTTTTTCCCCTTGTTCGTTTTGGGCCCCTTTTTGTGGGGGTTTCCCAACCTGCCCCGGATTTTTCTTTATCGGGCAATTCTATCTCCTCATCTTCTTGGTTTTCCTCCGCTCCATTCCTTCCGGTTAACCCAAGATTTTTCCTTTCTTTTACCCTTCGCCATTTCATTGTATTTTTTTTCCCTTTTTTTGGGAATTTCCCTCTTCTGCCCTTTATCCCATAAATATGATACGGGGCCCCCTTTTTGGGGGTTTTCTTCTTCCTTTTTTCCCTTTCTTTTTTTTATTAAAGGGCCCAATTCAATTCCTTTCCTTTCCCACCCTCTCTTTTTTTTTTTGGGCCCTTTTTTCTTCTGGCCTGTCGAAATTTTCTTTGGTGTTCCAGAATGTTGGAAAGATTCTCCCAAACCTTCTTCGGGGGTTATAGGATTACAGGCAGGAACCCTCCAAACCAAAAATAAGGGGAAAATCTGGAGGTTTCCATAAAACCCCACCCAGACCCGGCCCAAAACAAGTCCCAATTTCAATTTTTCCGACCAATTTTACATTCCCAAGGGTTTTTGAACCTTTCCACTTTAGGGGATTTCCCCGGGGGATAAGGGGGGTTTTATGTTTTCAAACCTGTCAAATTCTCTTTTTGTTGTTCCCTTCGGGATTTTCTTTTCCAATTGAAGGGGCACCAAACCCAGGAAGATTTCGCTATTACAAACGCCAAGTTTTGGCCTTCTTGTCTGTCTGCAAAAAGCCCAGGCCAAGAAATTTTAAAAACTTATATATTGTTTCCTTGCAGTTTCCCCTATGGTCCTGATAATCCATACCCCTTTCTCAAGGGGAAATTTGGTCGTTTTCCCAATGATTTTCCCGCCTCCTTTTTGGGACAATACAACCCAAAAATAAAAAGTGATTTTCCTATTTGGGCAAAGTTTTCTTTTCCCGAGATCACATTCCTATCAATTTTGCCCAACCTTCGGGCCTGTTAAATCTCTGGTCTTAAAATTTGGGCACATACAACTTGGTTGACTTTTCATCCCCCTTCCCGAGAGAAAAAACCTTTCCCCTATTATGGATACGGGTCTCTCCCCTTTCCCTTTTCCCCCAGAGCAGCTATTTCACTGTTGTTGTTCTTCCCCAATTCCCTTTTTCCCTAAGGATCGTTTTAATCGGGCCCCCTTCGTCCATTCAATAAAGTTTATCTTTTTATTTTTGATTATTACTTATTCTATATTTAACTACCCCCTTTCTACCCTTCAGACTTTTTCCGGTATTCTTGAGAAATTCTACTGTTTTTCCCTTTTCCCGCCAAACTCTATTTAGGGGGCCCCTTAACAGGGCCCCCTGTTGAAATTTTTATTTTTGTCCCCTCTGCGAATAGGTACTGGAGGCTTGTTCTGTTTTTTTATGAAGCGCACCATTTAAAATAGTCCGTTTTTTTAGGCATAAAATAGCATATGCTTCCCCCCCCTATTACGGCCACCCTTTTGGGCTCGAGTTAGAGGAAGTATTCGGTTTCCCCTGGTATGCCTTGACTGGTCCTTCCTTATCAGGGCAACAGGTAAAATGCCCCACACTGCTCACTATCCGTTAATACTGGGGTTTGGGTTTTGTTGGTGGGGGTTTCAAGCCTTTAGCGAATCGCCGTACAGTCCTCTTCCACGCCCAGGGGATTTTCAATAGGGCCATAAGGGGATGGCAATTTTGAAAAAGCCCGGGGCCGGTTAGTATAAACTTAAAACCCCTTTCCCCTCCCGTCACCTGGGATTTCCCCAGACCTTTCCCACCATGTGGTTTAATCCCTTGAAATTTAAAAATGTTTTCCCCCAAAACTGACCTTTTACAATTTTAAATTTTAACTTTTTCCCCAACCTTCCCCAAAACCGTCTTAAATGAAAAAAGTTTGTTCCACTGTTCCAAAAAATAAGATTCGCTAAAAACCCCCGGAAAGCTTCCGATTCCAACATATTGAATTAGCTGGAAGACTCGGGATTAAGCTAAACGAAAAATCACTCTGAACTGAAACAGTCCCCGGTGACCGCGAATGCGGCCTTCCTTGTCATTTCCCCCGGGCTACTTGCCCAAAAGGTCAATCCCAAGAAGGAAAATTTTCCTTCCCCAATAATGCCAAATGCCTATCAATGGGAATGGGAGCAAGCTTCATATAAATTCAGCTTTCTAAAATCTAAAAGAAAAGGTGGCCATCTTTTTTACCACTATTTCTTTAAACTCCAGGGGAGATCACTTTTTGATCATCCCATTCAACATTTCCCCTTTGCCCTTCAAGGGGGCTTTTTTTGTATAGGGGGTTGAAATTTTTTTTTTCGGGGGGGGCCCGTGTTTTTATTTCCCGGGGGGGTCTGACTAGTTCTATCTGCTGGTACCACATTCATTGTTCCAAAAGACCCCCCTGCAAATTGATCCGTGTTTTTATCCCCCATCCAAGATTCCTTTTTTTTGTCTATAGCCCTTGCCTCCTCACCAATTCAGGGTTTGGGGGGAAATGCCCCCTATCTTCTCCCCCCTCCTAACCTTGAGTCTTTTCCCGTTTACCATCAAGGGCACTTCTTGCCTCCATACGTTTGCACAGGGTTTCCCCGTATCTTTAGGCCCCTTTCCTTCTAAGGGGAAAATGAGAGGGCCTTCCGACCTTTTTTTTGACATTACCTCCCCTTTAATGGTCCTAGGGAAAAAATTCACTTCCCCACCACTTTGGGTTTTTTCTTCTCAGGGGATCCCAATGGTTTCCCACCACCAAAGGTTTTTCTGGGCCTTTGGTCGGGAATCTTCCCAAAATTCCTTCACGGGTTCTTTGGGTTTTTTTTCCCCAAATTGGGCCCCACCATCCCCTTTTTTTCCAGGGGGCCCCATCTGTTTGTGATTTTCCTTTTCCCGAACCTTCTTTCCCTTCACCCCCCTGTTTTTCCCCCTCATCAATGGCCAATGTCCCCCACCAAAACCCCATCTCTTTCCACCCTTTTTTTCCCGGGTGTTTTCTTTGTAAAAAGGAAAACTTGACTTTCTTCTTCCTGGGGACCTTTGGTTAAAAAAGGGGGTGAATAAAAACCCATTTTTTTTTTTGGGGGGGGGTTTTGGGGCCCCCGCCCGGGGGACCCCCGGGACCCCTCCCGGTCTCCCATGGCCGTTTAAGAATAAATTTTTTTTAGGTTCCCCCTCCCCAACCAGCACCTTCTGTTTGGGCAGTTAAAATGGCCCCCCCACCACTGTCCCAAATTTTGCTCTTTTTCCTTTTTTAAATGGTTTTGGTTTTATCCTCGGGGGAACCTCCCTATTCGGGGTTCACCCCCTGGTCCCAAATTTTATTTTTCCTTAACGGCCACCCTCCCCCTTAATTTGGGGGGGGGGCCCCGGCTTTTCTTGGGGTCGGTTTCCTTTTTTAAGGGGGGACCCCCCCGCCCGACCATTAGCCAGGTGTCCTTTTACCCCACCTGTGCACCTGTCAATGGTCTGGGGGGAACCCCCACGGAATCCCCCTGTGGTCCTCGTTAAATCCCGAGACCACCGATTTGGTGGGGGGCCAAACCCTGGTGAAAGCCCTTTTATTGGGGGGCCTCCCCCCATTTCTGCCCTATTTTTTAACCCCCGTTTCCCCACGGTTTTTTCCCCCCCACAAACTATTTTAGTCATGTAATAATAAAGAAATTTCATTGTATAAAAAGCTCTATTCAGAAAGTAACCAGCTATTTTGAAGATCTTAAAACCAGTTGTATAGCTTTGATTTAACTTAGCAACCAATCAAAAGGGACCATACTGTGCATGTGTGAACAAACACTCTCCCATCAAGTCAGCATTGTGAATGAGTTTGTCTAAAGTTTGACAGTTATAATCAAAATGACCAAGCTAAGTTATTAATAACCAGTCTTCTGATGCATGTAATCAAATGCAGACATCCCCACAAGGGCTTCCTTCAGTCCTAGCTCTTTCTACTCTATATTAACAATCTAAGACATTCTTGGATCACTAGTGTATATATATATATATATATATATATATATATATATATATATATATATATATATATATATGTGTGTGTGTGTGTGTAACACAGTTTATGGATACACTTCCAAAAATCTAGATTACCAAAGACTGGCAGCTGATCTCTCAATAGGAAAGACTGGCTTAGATCATTCAATACCCCAAAAAACAAACTGGCAATGTTTCATCATCATTGAGTACACCCTAAATTGTCTCCAGTCCTGATGAATGGTTGTACTCTCAATGAGACATTTGCTTTGAACATCTACTGGGACTCAAGTTCACTCCAGAACTCAAACTGGAACAAGACCATCACTGAAGAGGCTGGAAAAAATGATTGGTTTCATGTACTGCTGTAAAAAGTACCTGAATTCTCCTGCCATGCTCTATCTTTACAAAAAAGTGAGATTAGACAAAAACGATGGAATATTGCTACCATATCTGAGCTGCAGCTTCCCAGTCCTCTTTTCCATTCTTGACAGAGTTCAGAAACATTGTATGCAAAACCTATGGTGATGAATCATTTTCCACGTAACAACCTATTTAACACAGACAAAACATTGCTATCATCTTGCTACTCTATTGATATTACAACTAGACCCATATAGATGCTCGATTCACCTTCATTCTTCATATTTCATTAGTAAGAAGGAAGTTCCACTCAGACATTTTCTTCCCAGAATTGTTACTTTGGGAACAGACTTCCAAGGATGTTTCTTTGATCATCTTAAGTCTAGAGTTAGCCATAATCTGTCCTACATATCCTTATAATATACACTTACTTGCTTTTATGCCCTTACAACAAATCCATTCAGTAACCCTTATCTTGAGTTGCTGTTGTTCCTTGTATTGAATGAAAAATTTATATATATATATGTGTGTGTGTCTCCTGAAGTATTTAAAAAATAAAAATATCCCATCAGCCAGTTGCCCTACAGTCCAGAATTGGCTACTTGTGTCAGATTTCTTGTTATCACTGTTGAAAGTGGGGTGGTTTCATTAAGGAGACTAGGATTAGATTGCTGATGACAATCTCTAAAGAGGACTGTTTTGAAAAGTGAAGAAAATGCTATGAGACTTCCTAAAAGATTAGTTTAAAAGAGACTAAGGCATCACTGCTCTAGGTTGGCTTCTTTTTTCATTAATATCAAATAGTTGGATCATTTCCAACAAAACTTGTATGTATAATTCAAATCTACTTATTTGCTAATGCAATGCAATAAAAGCAAATCATTAAAAAAGAAATTAGGTCAAGTTTTGAAGAGTTCATTTTATAAGAAAGCAATATTTGACAGAAAATTCAGTGGAATTTAATAGTAAAATCTTGATGTAACTTTCCATTCTGGGATCAGCCTATGAAGAAATATTATTTCCTCAGTGGAAAGACAAATTAAAAAGAGCATACCACATAACTTATAGTTACTGTTAATTGTTGGTCACCTGATTGTGCCTGGTGTAAACTAACTGTTATTATAAACCATATCATTTTAATTATTTCACCTCAATATATATAAAATAAGTGATCAGAAGATAAAATGCCCAGAAAAATTGTTTTTTTTTGTTTTTTTACACACTTGTTTCAAATTGTCTATATTTTTAAATAGCCTATATCTTCATCGAATGTCTTGTCCATCATCACATAATTCAAAAATGGCTATAACTATTTTGCCATATTGGTTTTTGAAAATTAACAAACATTCATTTTTAATGAGGGTTTAATTTACAATGTAAGTATAATACTCAATTAGACCCTTTAATTTGTGTGTCCACCAGGTTTACTATGTTAACCTTTCAAAACACTAATCTATAAACAAAAGATAGTTTGCAGTTTGGTGATATACCTATTTTTATTTGTACAATAAAAACATATCCATTTGAAATCTTTTTTGGGAATCTGTCCCATCCAGTTATTTAAATAAAATATGATGCAAGAGTCAATGATAGCAATGACTTGAATAGCATATAATTAATAAATACATAGTTCAAATCTAATATCTTTTATTGAGGCCATAGTACCTATTTTGCCTTTTACAAAATCTAACTAAAATTATAGATAAGAAAAAAACACTTTTTAAAACAAATTACTTAAATTATATAGTGATAAAAGTTCTTTTCTTTTAATTTGAAATAGAAAATGTATATGCAATGACATATATTTTTCTTTTAGTTATAATGGGTTGATGTGACTTGTTTGTTGTTCAAGTCTCTTGGAAATTTTCAATTTTCACTTAAAATTTAACCTGCAACATTGGCTAATATTTATTTATTTCTTCCCCTAATGTAGAAAATTTCTAGTGTCATTAATATATTTAAAAAATTAAAAGCAATTAAAAACTCAATCATTGATGTGAACTTTTTTTTTCCTGTAGATTCTGTCAAATCCAGAATTTTTGGCTGAGGGAACTGCCATTTATGATCTGCTCTATCCAGACCGTGTTCTGATTGGTGGAGACCCAACACCAGAAGGACAAGAAGCTATCATGGCTCTGCAGTGGATTTACCAACACTGGGTGGCACCAGAAAAAATTATTACCATGAACACATGGTCCTCGGAACTCTCCAAATTGGTGAGTCATTAACTACAAATTATGTCAACTGTTTATCATGAATTTAAGTGGGAATTGTTATTCTGTTACTGGAGGACACTATGGAAGAAAGAATTATTCTCCCATTTGTATTTCCCCCATTATGAGCATTATTATATCCATGATATAATAACACTGTAGTTCATGGATGGAACAGAATGGAGAAAAAGGAATGACAAACATGCTTTGTTCTCAGAGAGACTTTTATACTACTAAGACATGCACAAAACTATATATACATATATAAACTCATCCCACACAGAGAATAATATATCACATATATCTACACAGTGTAGGACAAACAAAAAGGAAGGATCTTACATATAATATGGAGATACTTTTGTGTCTGGAGAAGCCATGTTTAAGGCTGGCTGGATTCATCTATGTCTCAGGCGAGGATATATTTCATGAACAGGAAACAGCGAGTCTTGGGTTTTCTCCAAATTGATGATTGCAAGCTAGAGTTTTATTCTATATCTGGGAAAGATATATTCCTAAAGGGAAACAGCACCATGGACTTGTAGCCTCTGCCTGGGCCATGGGGAGCCCTGGACTAAAGAAAGCAGCCTTTTGGTTTAACTGCTGTAAAACAAACTGAATTTGACTGCTGCTTTTTTCACTCTATGGAGTGACGTCACTAAGCATTCCATCACATCACCCATATGAATTATCTCCACCAAAGAGAGATAATTGACTCTTGTATCCCTACAATTTCATTATCACACCTGTTTGTAAAACAAAACAGGAATGTCACTCAAACACATGTAGCCACTAAAAATAACATTTATAACAATAAGAAATTATCACAAGTACAAGCTGTCAAAAACTGGTAATTTATATGATAAAACTCCAAAAGAATTGTATTTACCATTCTTGTCTAGTTTTGGAATTCAAGCAAGGAATGTATTAATGAAAACATTCTTACTGGCAGACAGTGTCTGATCTATAACATGAATGAAATTTTTTGGAACACAGGCAATGGAATTTTTTGGAACACAGGCAATGAAATTTTTTGGAACATAGGCAATGAAATTTATTTAGCACACAAATACTGTATCAGACTTTTATATATGGAGAATATAGAGACTATTCAATTAAGCTTCAGGGTGTTATTGCTAGGGACCAAAGTCTGTTTATCTCTTTATGGCCTTAAATGAAAAGCTTGTTCAGTAGAACTGAGGTTACATGTTGCAGAGATCTCTAACATGGTTCTTCAGCAGATAATTCTAAAAAGGGAAGGTTTTTGTACTTTCACTGAGATGTCCTGGGTATGATGATAATCTACATCCAACAGCAAGGCCTCTGATCTGGAAGTTTGGAAGAGCATGGAACCACCTCTTAATTGCTGTTGTTCCCAGGTTCACCCTGACCCGGTGTGGTTTCACCTGTTAGGGTCCGAGCTATGGGCAAATAGTTAACCCCAAAACTTGGATCAAAACGGGTAAAAATAGGTTTTAATTCCAGCAATAAATTTTTGTAAAAAATTATTACCAGCAATAAATTTTTGAAGAAAAAACTATTACCAGCAATATATTGTCAGCAATACTTTTTGTGAAAAAATATTACCAGCAATACATTTTTTGGGAAAAATATTGCCAGAAATACTTTTTGAAAAAAAATATTACCAGCAATAAAAATCTTGTTGGTATTAAATAACCCATTGACGTTGATATGCTGTAAAACAAAACAAACTTTCACTGAGACCAGTCATGGTTAAATGCAAGTGTAATAGGAGTAGCCTTAAGTCATCAGTGCATTTGCTAATTGACTAAGAAAAGAACTCTCTATTGATTCTCTTAACAAATGTTTTACAACTTTGGGTAAAATGTTGAACATATACATGATTTTATGACAGCTCAATGAAACATATTTTATAATAGCTTGTGAATTGGTGAAACTCTTTAACTTGTTTTGTAAATTCAAAAATTTAATCTGCTTTAATCTCAATAGCATATTAACCCTTTCAGCCCTGTGTTCCTGAACAATTTTAACCCTACTGCTCCCGAGTCAAAGTTTGCAAATAATTGGCATGTAATGTTTCACGGTAGATATAAAAAATAGTTACAAGTGTTTACCCTCCATTCAACCAGTGACTGGGCATTACATCATCTTTCTCTACCACCGGTAAAGTGGTGGTTAGGGCTCAAATGTTTAAAACTTTTGCATTTGCTTAATCTTTAGAACTCTTTATGCAAATTTGAACAAGATGTTTGTCCTGCTATTATGGGTGACTCTGATCAACAAATGATAGTGTGTTTGAATTTTAAGATTGTGTTGTATCTCCTGCTATAGTAATAGTGAAAACAAGCTTAACAGAAATTGAGAACAACACTACTGTAGTTGATGGACTGCCATATACAGTGAAAGGGAAAGTAATACTTATGAATAATGCAAAGTTCTAAAGGTTAAGTAGGAATGAAAAGTTTTAAGAAATATTCTATTGAAATATATAGAGGGTAATTTTTTTATAATACAGGTTTTACTTCTCTAATCCAGCAGTCTGTGATCTGGCAACTCCCATGTCAGGTAGCTTTTGAATCTGCTGTCAAGAATTTGTGGATTGGCCACTGGAATTTATTTTAAAAAATTAATTGAAACCAAACCTAAAAACTTAAAGCTCAACAACTTTCAATGCTTATTTGAGCATAAAAGTGGATACATATTCACTTTTTCTAAAGTTTATGCATTATTTTTAATACAACCAATTAAAAGCCATAAGCAAGCACACATTATTCGTAGTGGGGAGGTTAGCTGAAAGTTTTAAGTGTAAAAAAAGATCGCTAACTTTTGAATACTTCAAAACTGCAACAGCAGTTGAGTCAAAGCATATCAGCTAGCAGCAGCAGCAGTTGCAACTTAATCAGCACCTAGGTTAAGTTTAAGTCTCTAAGTTTATGAGACAATGGTCTAGTGGTTAAAAGCATTGGTTTCTGAATTTGGTGACATAGTGGTTGTGAATTCAATCCCTGGGTCAGGCATTATGTGCACTTGCATGTTGGAGACGTTTACTAAGACTGAACAGTACTAAATAAAATAAGAATTAGACAATAACAGTGAGCAGTGGAACGAGAATAGTCTACATTCAGAGATTAAATAAAGGTTTCACTTCAGAATTACCTTGATTGATATACACCTGTGGAATTCCAGAGAGCACAACAACTGAAACTTTGTGACAATAGTCCAAATATAAATAGTGTAAATAAAGTATTAATGTTTGTCAGTATTCCTTTCTTTTGTGTATAAAGAAACTGAGCCTACAAGCATATCTATTTTCTGGGATTTTAAGCTTGGAAATCAAATTAATAGAAAAATATTTTGTATTAATTAATTTGAACTTAAGCTCTGACAAAATGGCATGTTGGCTGGATGATCTGGCTAACTCTGTCTATACTGTTAAGTGTTCTTTTTATAATATTGACTTCCATAAAAGTGGTTCAGATAGATGAGTTTATTTAATTTCTTTTTAAAGATTTTCATTAGATAATGCCAATTTTTAAAAATTAAAAAAAAAATTTGAGCCACTTTTGAACATTGTTATGAGCTGGAAATGATTTCTCTGAGGAGCCTTTGTTGGTTTTTAACTTTCAGTGTTTTACAAGACGTCAGTGAAAACTTCTGTTAGGATGTATTTTTTTTGTTTTGTTATCATAGCTCTTCTATTACCTGCTTCTAATGATATCTGATGTGACTGCTTTATGTAAGCTCTGAATTTATTTAAACACTAGATTGTGATAAAATAAGGAACACTAGATTGTTTAACATTGTTTTCATTTAAGAGCAGGAATTTCTTTGATCGGTAAAAACTAATTTGATACTTTCAATAAGGGAATTATGTATTCTGTTTTAATAGAGAGAGCTGTAAGAAAATCTCTTCTGTTAACTGCAAATCAATTGTTATCTTGAGTTTTTTTTTCCTGGCATAATGTTATGTTTTATTGAACTGAAAGAACTCAATATTAAGAATAAGAATGTTTGTTTAAAACAAATTCAAGCTTCAGGATATATTAAGATGGATAAGAGTATTGACATGCTCTAATTTCTGTATAGTGGACTAGCCAACTGTCACATTGATTACACAAATGAAAACAACTCACATTATTTACATTATTTGGACTGTTATCCTCATCTTCATTGCCATATTCGCAACGTTTCGGTCATTGTACGCTCTGGCCTTCCTCAGGTGATTGGAATTTCAAACCGAACCCTTTATTTCATCCACTGGGGTAGATTGTTCTAATTTCATGTGCCATGCCTCTTCTGGATGTCTCAGTTATTTCCCTTTAACTCAAGTCTCCAAGTTGTGGTTCACCACTGTTGTGGCCTGGTATTGAACTCACAACTCTTTGGGTCTAGTCACTGGATCTAACCAATGTCTTTATCCACTGGGCCATGTGTCCTTGAGGAAATTCCAAATCATCTGAAGAAGGCCAGAGAGTGCAATCGCCGAAATGTTATGAATATGGTAATGAAGATGAGGATAACAATCCGAATAATGTAAATAATGTGAGTAATCATAATACCTCATCTCAGAGATATAGACAGAAAACAACTCAGTTATAAAGCAATAAGTTCAATAAGTTTTTTATTATTTTAACTTGTACTTGTTTTAGCAATACTAATCATTCTTGAAATTAATTGCAATTTAATTTTAAAGTAGTAGATTAAGTATTGATCAATGGCTTTTATATTGATTAAAGACTTGTTCCAGTTTTGAGTTTTAGCCTTAATATTGGTTCATTTTTGTTTTCATTTTTCTATATAAACACAATTTTTTATTTTCTCTAATAATGCAGCCAAAAATGGCTACATAAAAAACAAAAACATTACCCATATTTTTCACTCTATTGACTCCCTTTCAGCCTTTCTTGATTAACTAAAATTTGATACAATTTGTTATTGTGACCTTCCTTATTTTCTCTTCATTTCAAATTTGTATTGTGTTTCTTACTATTTATTCTTTGTTGGTTTTGTCAGTTTCCCTCCATTTACAAGAAATTAATTCAAATTGATTCTTTGTCTCTATGGGATCTTATAACTTATATTAATGAAAATCTGTTTTCTTTTTATTACTTGTAATTCATTTGCCCTCTATCTTTTTCATTTCAACTTTCATAATTAAAGAAAAAAAAATTATTATAATAAAACTTTTCCTTTACAAATAGTGGCCAAATGAAGAAATTTTTATTTTATATGTTCATGTTTTTTTTCCTTTTACTGCATTATTTAAAAGATTTAGTTAGTATTTTAAGATGTAATGAAAAATGGTATTCATTAATTGAAATAAGAGTATTCATTCTATTAAGTCTGCTGGATATGTTAGATGTAATCAGCAAAACCCAAAAGATAAGTTTTCACTTTTTTTCATTTTACTTGATTAAATGTCACTTTTTGCAGCTTCCACTTAATGTCAAGACACTTTTTATTTATATAGCATTTATATTATAATTTCTGTTGGCAATGCTAGTTATCACTAAACTTAATTATTAATCTTGTGTATAAAGCTCAAAGTTTGTGGACATGTGTGTGTCTGTTTGAAATCCTGAGAATTAATTATGTTGTATAGCCCCTTGTGGGGGTGGTCTTGGGGCAATGACTTCAATTCCATAATAAAATTACATTCTTCTCTTTCACTTGTCTTCTCCCAGCCAGTGATCGCTAGTTGTTTTGGTTCAGAGATAAAAGAACTTCAACGCTTAATTTTAACTTAGCTATTTTATTAATGTCGATGTATACATTTCTATGTATCCAGTGGGTTTGCTCGCCCTCCACTGGGGAGACGTCTCTAGACACGAAAGGAAACACATCTACATTGTTCGACGGTTAACACTCATCTCCCCCAAATACCTTTCTCTATCTATTATTCTCATGCTGGCTCAGTCAAAATCGACTTCCTTGTTTTGTCTTTCATCTGACCTCAAAGGTCAACCCTAGGAAGTCAGAGCAGCAATACACTTCCTCTAAAGAATAATAGTCCACTAAACTATTATTTTACAATTAAATATATATGCAATTTTGTGTGTAAATATCATGTAAATCTGATATCAAATAAATTTTTATTTTATTTGCCTCTACACAAGATAAAATTTGACACAGGTTTAGCTTAATGATTCTGTAATTAGCTGGTATTATCTCCCTTTGATAAACTTCTTTTTTTTTTTTTTTTTTTTTGGTTAATTTATATTTTAAATGGCTGCCTGATTAATTTATTCTCCAAGTTAGAGCCTTTCAATAGGATTGCACTGATGAAATTATGCTGCAGTGTTTGGTTTTTGATATGTAATGTTAAACACAAACAGAAATTGAACCATTATATCAATTATTTATTTTTTTTTTGAAGGCTAATTTCCAAACTGAGTGAAAGACATGAGAAAAGAATTAGGTTGAATGTATAGATTATTATCATTTGAAATGTTTGTCATAGATATTTTAACTTTATACAAGGGCATATAATTTAACATATTGTCATGAAATTTAATCTTTTATTGAACAAAATGTTTATAAGGAGTGATTGTCAGTCAAATCAGGCTATAGTGTAATCTTTGTTTATAAATATATAAAAGGAGAGGCTAAAAAATTTATGGCCTAAACCACTTCCCAAATTTTGACCAAATGATCAGACATCAGAATATTTTTTTTTAATTCTCTTCTGGATAGGCTGAGAACTTTTCAGCATAAACATACTGATACACACAGAAATATCTATTTAAAATAAATTTTATGCATTATTTTTGTCAATAAAAAATCAGTTTTATCCTTTTAATTTAAATGTTCTTACATCATACAAGATTTATTTACCTTTAAAATCACAGTATGATATTTAACCTTGGTACAGGTCTCAGGGTGAACACCCACCCTACTTTTCATATGAAATATGGAAGATATTTTTGAACCATTTCTCTTGTAAAATTAGGTAGCAAAATCTTATATGCCATAAAGTAATAGGTTAGAAATATAATGAAATGTTAAAAATCTTGTGTAATTAATAATTTGTAAATAGTTCTTTTTAAATTGTGATTTTATTTTCTTATCTTCAGCTGTAATGTTAACTTTGATACAAATTAAATTATAAAATGAACCCAGTAAGTTTATTTTTTATATTTGACTTTTAGTGTTTAATCTACTTGCTTTATCCTGTATGTTTTCAATCCTATAATTATTAATTATGATCATGAGCCTTATTACTGATTATTTATATAGTAGCAGTATCATTATTAATTAGGCTCTTCCAAAGAAACTTTAATTTTCAATGCAGATTTGTACAACAGACACAGCACTGAACATCATCTCTAGAAACAAACTAAAAAAATATGTAATTTTCTCTATTATTTAGAACAGCAATAAAAAAAAACAAAACATGACAACCCATTGCTAGTAAAATTATTATGCAAATAGATTCATTATTCAACAGTAAAAAAATAGTGCTATGCTGGATCCCAGGCCACATAGGGATTAGAGAAAATGATCAAGCAGATCCAGCCACAAAGTCTGCATAAAATGAAACCCCTGATAATAATTTCAAGATGTCTATAAATAGAATAAATTGTTACATTCAACAGAAATGGCAAAAGAGTTGAACTGACAGTAAAATTAATAAACTTCTCACAATGTAACTATTCCTAGTTGAATGGAAAAAAATGTCATGAAAAGTGAAAGTAATGCTAGCTCAACTACACATAAGCCACATATGTCTCATGCATTCATACTTGCTGAAGAATGAAGATTAACCAACATTTAAAACAGGCCAATCTGCATTTATGGTGAAACATATTTTAGCTGAATTTACTCACTTAGCCTGTGTAAGACACAAATACAACAAGGAAAACAACATGAGAAAACTATCTGAAAATACTGAAACTGTCAACATAATGTCCTACCTTAAAGAAATAGGTTTATACCAAAACATTACAATAGATCATCTACAAACTATATATCTATAAAACATATGTTTAACCTGAAAGTATAAAATTATGTCCAAAATATATGTAGTTGAAACCATATAATTGCGCACAAAATATTTAGATTCCAGCATTAAATAACCCATAGAGATTGATAACCCACTTAACAACAACATCAACAACCAACATTAATTATGGTAAATGGTCTTTCTCTATTTAACTGAAGTGAACCAGTTAATCTAACCTTAGTTATTTTGCTTCAGATTGTTCTTTTCTCCTGAAAGGGCTGCAAGGGACAGGAAATTGTGGAGAGCCATGATCGCTTATATCCTGAGGAGACATGGCACATGAAGAAGAAGTGGGAAGGGTCTTTCTGTTTATTGTATATAAATCATTTCTTTCAGATGTGAAGGTGGCATAATGGTTATTGACATGGAAATCAGCAGATTAAGTTCAAATTCTAATTCAATGTCTTTCGGGGAAAGCCATAAAAATTCCATTTCTTCTCTTCCCAGATTTGGATAAAATAATAGGACTGACAAAGCTCTCTATCCTTGTTAGGTCAACTTGTCTATGAGGACAAGACTATTCAAAACCCTAGATGTGGAAACCACTCCATTTCCTTTCACAAGAACTAATCCACAGGTATTAAAAAAAAGGAAGTTAGAGAAGAATATGATCATCTATACCCTGAGAAACACGACTTTAAAAAAACAAATAATACCTTTACATATCTTCGTTTAATGGTTGTAAATTTCCATTTTTCACTTGGCAAATCACAAGGGTTATTGATTTATAATTCTGCCAATAAAATCAATTATAAGTTTTGGCCATTCAAAAGAGACTCTCATGTAAAATAAAAAAGTTTGTATTTTCCCTGTTATATAAAAATCATTATTTGTTTTGATCCACAGGCAGCTAATGCTTTTCTTGCCCAGCGAATTTCCAGTATTAATGCCATGTCAGCCATTTGTGAAGCTACTGGTGCTGATGTCTCTGAAGTAGCACATGCAGTTGGAACAGATACCCGGATTGGGCCCAAGTTTTTGAAAGCCAGTGTAGGCAAGTAAAATTCTTGTTAACTCTCACCCTAAATTTTTTCTCCTATCTTAGAATAATAAGACAAAAAAAGAAGGAAAAATTACAGTTTTGTTGTTGTGTATATTTTTTTGAATTCTGAAGATAGACTCTTTAGCCTCTGTTTGATATTGTTTTCATAGTGGACATAATTCAGCCATAGAGATAAAATAAAAAACTCATTTGTCCATGCATTGAATATTGCTGCTAATACATAGTCTGATGCTTCTGCTGTCTATCTGGATTCTTGAAAGAAAATCCAAAGAATCTGCAATGTTCTCAATCCTGATCTTGCATCTCAGATTCAGTTACTTTCCCACTGTCATAACATAGCTTCCTTTTGCTTCTTCTATAAATATTTTCATAGTAATTGTTCTAATGAGCTTTCCTTGTTAGTTCTTGAATTCGTGAATTGTCAGTTAGGTCTCATAATTTCACCATTGAAATTGCTAGTTCTCTGCTAATAATTTTTTTCTCTTGTACTCCTTGCTTGTGAAACTCTTCCTACTTTCCTGTCAACTATGAATGTAATGTCAATTGTCTTCTGTCTCCTTGAATCTTATTCTTTTATTATGCTCTCTGTTTCTTTCACTTTCATTAACCCCTTTCATCCTAGTGGCTTTTATTGTCTTAATTGGGATGAAGTGATAAAAAAATAACTTTATTCTATTAATTGTATTTTCCAATTCCCTGACCACTTACAATCCCTTTTTTACTTGATTTCCAATGTACTTTTTTAAAAATTGTTAAATAAGCCTTAAATCAAAAATTGTAATTAGTTTATTTTATTTTTTTTCAAAATTGTTTAAAATAATTCATTAGTGCAGAAAAAAGACTAAGATCTAAACAGGATAGTGGTAAAGTCAGTGGGTATAGAAACTAATACAATTGGTACTAAAGTATATCCATGATTATTTAATCTTGCCAGAATTTATTGTATCACTCTATATGTAATTATTAGAAGGAAGGAAAGTTTTAATATATTTGTTTAATAAATCCTACCTGTGATGTCATGGTTTAAATAAACAGCTAGTTATAATGTTTGATGATGAAAGTAAACTCAGATTGCTAAATTTATTTGCTTTGTATGAAACTAAATGATGGCCTATTTTTAGAGCCCTGGTTTAAAAATAGTTACATTGTCTTATTAATTTGTTTTAGTTTCATAATCAAATATGTCTTTAGCTAAAGTAGAATTTTCTTACTTTGAATTTCCTCTTTATTCGTATATTTCAAAGAGTTTAAGAAAAAAAGAAAAAAAAATAGATTGTAAAATTTACCTTTCCATTTTAATTTAAATTTGTTGCTAATTATAGCATAATTGCAAGCACTGATTGGCATATAAAATGAGATCATTATCATTGTGTTGATGAATTTTCAAGACAAATTCAGTATTATGTTCAGTTTAGATTATTAAAAATGTGCTTTTTTTTCTTTTTTTCTTAAGTTATTATCTTTTCTTTCTCATGACAAATGATTGGAAATATTGTCTTTTATATTATTCTCACTTTTAAAAGAGAAATACTTGTTTATTACATATTTCTTGATGGGAAAAAAGAAATTATGATTAGTTATTTAAGAGAAAATAAAACTTTCAATTAAAGCTATGTAGCTTAATATATTGTCAATTTTGTTTGCTTGCTCATTGGTTATTGACATTGGAGGGAAACAGGCAATTTGCATACCAATACACTGGTATATTACTGCTGAAATATTTGGACAAATTTAACTTTGAAATATTAATTTGGATTTCCTTAAATTTATTTTTTAATGGTTGTAATTTTTTTGAAGTCACTTACATTTCTTTCTTTCTTCCTTTCTTAAATAATATTGATGTTAAACTCATTTAAACCTATAGAAACTAAATTTAACATTCTTTGAAAATTTTTCATTTTAAGAGGACAATATTTTTTAATTTTATTTATTTTTTGTATAAACTTCATTTATTCCTGCTGTAATCATAAAGGTTATTAATGAATAAATAAATGAAAGTAAAGCACTTTCAAATTTAGAAAAAAAATTTCTTTATTTTTTTACATTCTTCAAAAAATATACAAAGGTCAGCTAGAAAGTTTATAGGTTGACGAAGATATAAATGTCTTTTAGTCTACCAACTGGTGTGTCTACTTACATTTATATCCTGTTAACCCATAAACTTTTCGGCTGACCCTTGTATGTTGTTCATTTTGTTTAACAGCTCATCTCGGAAAATCAAATATGTCCTTAAATTTTTTGCTCCAATAACTTGTACACACATAAAACCTAGCAGATTTAGTCTTGACTTATAGCTAAGTTTAATTTAAATAATACCAATGTTAAATTTATGTTACTATTGGTATAATCAAACTGGAATATTGTTAATGATAATTTTAATTTTATTCATACAGGTTTTGGTGGCAGTTGCTTTCAAAAGGATGTTCTTAACTTGGTTTACCTTTGTGAATGTCTCAATTTACCTGAGATTGCTGCTTATTGGCAACAGGTATGTATACATTTTTATAAACACATATTTATAATTTAGAACTTTAGAACTTTTTTTCTTGTTTTTCATCTATATAATTCTGTATTAAGGTAACCTGTATATGTATAGATGGCCACTTTTATTCAAGGATACCTGTCTACTAGGGCAGCTAGCCAATCCCTATTGCAGATGCCCACTCAGGCGCATTTGTGTTTATTCAGCACTCACAGAACCCACCTGTGGTTTATACTGCAACTATGCTGAGCAGACCTTATTTACAGTTTCTGGGAGAGAGTGTGTTATCTAGTGTGATCAACAATCTGAACAAGGCCTGCACATTCAAGCCCTCGGTCACAATGACTTGTGACTTTGTGCTAGCACAGCTATTGACGGCCTTCAAGGGTTTCGTCTACCCAGTTCCACTCACAAGGCTTGGGGCAACCTGTGTTATGGTTTTCAGGCACTTTCCAAAGGTGCCACATGCTGAGATCGACCCCCTCCAGTCCAGTAACATCTGGAAGTCTCCTTCCTGACAAATCGACCATGGTGAGAATGCAAATGTTCTAACCACTTGGCCATGTGTTCATATAAGGTAACCTACATTATAAATAAAAGTATGAAATTGTGTGTATATATTTTATACAGTTATTTTTCTATCTTCATATGTAAGTGGTATCTTTATAAAGTTAGATGTAGAATTTTATTGGTATTGATGTGGAGAAACTTTTGGCTGTCATTGTAAATTGAAATTTTTTTTTTTTTTTTTTAATCTGCTGAATGATTTCTTTTCTTTTTTTTTCCTTCTGAAAATTTCTCACTATAAATAGTAACATAGATTTGGTGAACATCTTCTGTTCAGAATATTTTTATAACAAATTAGCACTGAAAAATCAAACTGAATTTAATCACTGATTGTTCACCTCCAGAAGAATCATGGATTTTTCCTTTGCTTTCCTTAATGTTTATTTTTTTCAATTTACCATCAACCTTATTTTAATTTTTATTAGATGAAGCATTGACAATCATTAGTATTTTTTACTGGTATTTACTTTCTGCAACAAATTACGCAGCACTTATTTCGATTAATCACATTATCTAGAATGATTACTTTGCTTTTAATTTCATAATTTATCTAAAACATTAAATTGATTAGTGTGTTATTTAAATGTTTTTCAACCCTTATAACATTAGATTGAAAGCATTAAATTGAATGTCAAAAATCTTTAAAGGATTTATAAACTTGTTGAATTTAGAGGCAAATTACTTTATAAGATTTAATATGCAAATTTAGTCAACTATTTGAGCAGATGTTTTCACCTTCCCCAGTGTATTGTCTCTCTCACTCTAATTCTCCATTCTATTGTGATATTCTGCAACACTTCCATTGAAATTTTATCCTTAAAGTGCCAATGTTTTTGTGGCATGTTTCTTTTTTCATTGTCGAATGTCCATATGAAGATGATAAAGATAAAATTGAACAAATCAGTTGAGAAAAATTTTCAGCCATTTTTATCTACAATGAAATGAACAAAATGAATTGTTTTTATTAAAGTTAACTCCAAATGATAAAATGTTACAAAAATGTAAAAACAGTTTTGGTTGGCAATAACAAACAACAAATGACTATAAAAAGCACTATTGATTATTTACAGCTAAATTTGCTTCTAAATTCATTAAGTTCATAATAATTTACTCAAGCTCACTAGGTAGGTTATGTATTGTTTTTTCTCTGTCTCTTTTGCCTTTAATCTGTCCTGTGAGTATCAAATTTTCCAAGCTTTCTTTTCTTATGTACCTTAGAAATTTCAACTATCTCTTCCTGATGTTAACTGGAAGTGGCCTTTTTGTTTCCATTTTTTCTAAAATTTTGCTATTGCTCATAGATTCAGTCCATGGGACTCTCAGCATCCTTCTGTAGAACCACATTTCTGTTGTTTCAAATGTCTTCTTCATCTATGAGCAGATTGTCTAGCTTTCATTGACATGTAACTATTTTAAATCTAGACATAGAATGTTTCACAAAATCAAAACTGACTTAAAAGTCTCACAAAGGGAATTAATGCTCATCTTGTTTTGATATTAAAACAATGCATTATATAAAAAATGCTATAAAATATATTTTTATCATTACTTTTACAAGAATTAATAAGAGTACAATATTTGTACAGTGAATCTGAACTTGTGTGAATATGTAAGGTTGGTCATCACTGTGTTTGAATGTTTTCAATTATAGATTAGGAATTCTTGTGCCAACCTATGTAGAATCCTTTTCCGGAAAGACATCATTCTCCTAACTAACCAAAATAGACATTATCCATTTAATAAAAAACTTCTCTTAGCTTTTCCGGTTAAAGATATCGCCTTCATAAAAATGCATGATTTCCACTCCACTTCTTTTGCCTGACTAAATGACCCTGTTGCTATCTTTTTAAAACAAAGCTACTTTCTACTTGCATCTCATCAACATTGAACAAACAAGACTTGATAAAGGTCCTGGCTTGATGAATACTCAATGCTTGTCTCTTTCAATTTGTTTTTTTTTTATCTTCCATAAAACTGGTAGGATCAATTTCAGTTGCTGAAAATTAAGTTCTTGTTTTACTTTGAATCAAACAAGGCCTTAATGTTTACACAAGACATTTTTTTTCCATCTTAGCAGGCATGATGTGACTGTGATAATAATTATTAATTAGCAATTGTAGACTTTCCATCAGTGGGATTCTGCTTTAAGATGTTAAGATTATTTAGATTTTACAAGTACTCCAAACAGTTAAAACTTAAGAAGTGACCATATTCCCAATTCATGATATAATGACTTATTTATCCAAATTTTTTTCCAATGAAAAGATCTTCTATATGCCACATCCTTTCAGAACATAGGCGATCAAGGCTCTCCACAACTTCCTATCTCATGTAGTTCTTAGCAGTTTTTCTCCCTTTACTAAAGCCCCTTCACCTTTTTGCCATTCATTCACACAAGTTTGTCAGGTAAGTGCCTCTCTGCCTTCTCCTATCTCTCTTGCCCTCAATATGCCCAGTGGGTATCTGTCTATATTTCTGAGATGAGGTATTATGTACATTATTTACAACAAAACGTTGTAATAAATATGGCGACAAAGATGAGGTAAATAGTCCGAATAATGTAAATAATGCCCTATGAGTGTTAAGTTTTCCAAGCCTTCCTTCCTCATTACATGTCCAAGGAATTTAAGCTATCTTTATCTGATTCTGAATATAAGTGCTCTTTCTGTTATCAATTTTTAAGACTTCCTTGTTGCTTATTTGCTCTGTCCATGGAATTTTCAGCACCCTTCTGTAGAACCACATTTCGGCTGCCTCTATTTTCTTTCATCATCTCTTGGGGAGATTGTTCAACATTCACTGTCATGTAAGAGGATAGATATCACATAACAATCCAGCACTCTTTTCTTTGCAACAAAATTTTTCCATTTTTCAACACCTTGCTTAGCTTTTGGAATGCTACCTTTGCTAGAATTGAGGTTGATATGCCGTAAACCAAACCAAACCTTTGCTAGTCAAGTGTGTGTTTGGATTTTCCATCCTCTGTTAAAAGACTTCCCACTGTCTAAAACAATCTCTGGGTGATGTCTCATCATTGGCAGTATTCACAATTCATTTAAAACTTTTTTTTTTTCATTTGGCAAACAAACTTCAGAGACCTGATAGCAATCTTCATACCTTGCAGAAATTGAGTTTATTTAAAGCAAATCTTTAATTGTAGGCTTACAGCCATATTGCGTTGAAATACCAGTTTGTATGATCATTAAAATTAAGCAATATTGAGCCTGGTTTGTACTTAGATGGGTGACTGCTTAGGAATACCGGGTGCTGTAAACTTGGATGTGTGAGTTGTGTAATGGATAATGGCTCAGAATTGTTAATCAAAGAGCTGAGTTCCAAATCCCATTGGGTTTTTTATATTTACTTATATGCAAAATTCTTCGGAATGGTATGAATTCACCTCTTCTCTCCCCAGCAATGAGTTAATTAATAAGACTTGTATCACTATATCATTATAATATCAAAAAAATTCTTAGAATCTAAAAATATTTTCTGTCTTTAAATAACCTGCAATAGTTGATAATTCATAAAAAAAACAAATCAATCACATTTTTAATTTCAATTATACTATGTCAAGTTTTATTATTCAAGTCAATATTTTCATAATAAAGTCACTAGTAACCTGACTAATACTGATATTGGTAAAATGGACATATGAGAAATATACCGTGTGAGTTTCATCTTATATTATCGATCCTTATTAAAGATATTTGTAATAACCTGACATACTCAGAATGAGTTTTCCTTTGCAAACAAATCAAAAGCAACATAGTTTTTTTTTTATATTTATAATTGAATCTAAAAGATATAGGTCATAGAAAAATATATTGATTAGCACATCTAATATACCTGAATAAATAATCATTTTACATATTAATATAGTCTCTTTGATATTCTGTAACCTTCAACTGTCTTTCAAACATTGATTTTGTAAATATTTTCTATGTTTCCACTTCCACTAATTTTTATTACTTTTATAAATCTTTTTTTGCTTGAATATTGTTTTCTATTCTATTTTCATCTTCCTTAATGATGGACCACAAAATTTCATTTGGATTAATATTTAGAGAGATTGGTAGGGTCATGCTATTAATTTGGTGTCTTTAGAACCTTTTTGGCAATGTCTGCAATAGTCAGCTATGCAGACTGTGAAGGCACATTGTCTTGCATGAATATATTCTTTGTATTCTTTTTGGTTTTGACCTCTACCACTCAAAGAAAAATGTCTTGTATAAAAACATACCTGGCACAATAATCGACCCACCACCAGTTTGCATAACATCCAATTGACAAGCTGGGTCCATAGTGTCCTTTTGCCTCCTTTACACACAACCTTGATTTTCTGCCTTAAAGAGCTGCAAATGTGACATAGTGTCAATTACTTACAGTCTAATGTTCTATGGCCCAGGTTATGTCTAATTGATACTATGGTGTTAATAATGCTAACTTTGAAAGCTGACAATTTCTCTATTTCTTTGCTGCTAAATTTAAAAAAAATTCTTCCTTTGTTTTTTGCAGGTTATTGACATTAATGACTTTCAACGTCGTCGCTTTGCTAATCGAATCATTGAAGCACTCTTTAACACAGTAACAAACAAAAAAATTGCAGTCTTTGGCTTTGCCTTCAAGAAAGATACAGCAGACACAAGGTGAGAAAATTTTCAGATACTAAATTTTATGTCACTAAAGGTAAAATAAAAACAAAATGTAGCATTGCATTGGCATGTAAAAAAAATATTTTAAATTCTCCTGCAATATGCAATGTAATTGGCCCTGATCTGGCATCTCATCTGCTGTCACTCTCTCACAGACGTGGCGTCGCCTCTCTCTGTCTTTTTTACAAATACTTTCATGGTAACTGCTCTGATGAGCTGCTTTCGCTGGTTCCCAGACTTCATGAATTTAAGTGTTCTACTAAGCTGGCATCTCACTCTCACCCTTTCACTGCTGAAACTGTTAAATGTAGCCGTCTCTTCTACTCCAATAGCTTCATGTCTCACACTTCTCACCTGTGGAACTCCCTCCCCTTTTCCTGTTTCCCTGATAGCATAATCTCCAACTATTCAAATGTAATGTCAATCAACATCTACAGATGCCTTGATCTATCCCCTATCCTTCTCTTCATCCTTTCCTCTATCACTCCTATTTGCTCTTGCTCCAACTCTCTGTAACTCTTTGTAACTCTTTGCGTGCTAGTGGCTTCTCACCTTTCTTGGGGTGAAATGCTTAAAACAAAAAAAAAAAATTTCCTTCACTTGCCTACACACACACACACACACACACACACCCTGCATTATTCTAAAGAAGAAAACTTTTGTACTGATTGTAAATTTTGGGTTTTGGTTAAGACATAAAAATGGCATTCTCCAGAATGGCATTCATTTATTCTGCTAAATTTTTATAAAGCAGCTATTTTTCCCTTAAAGTGTTAAAAGTTGAAATTAATAGAAAAAATTTTGGATTATAAAACATTTTTAGAATTAAGATACTCCAAACATAACTTTTAATAGCAAATATTCTTAAACAAGCATAACTAATAAACCTTCTTGGTTTGTCACAAGATAAAGACATGGAATTTGGAAGATTGTTCTTTTGAAACCTCCATAAGTAAAATGCTGATCTTCTGAATTTGAAACTCAAATCTGCCATCAAATATATGTAACTACTTCAGCATTCTTATGGTGTTTAATTTCAAATTATACATGGATTAATGAAAACATTATGACCAGCAGATGAATAAAGTGTTAGTTTTTCATGCACCCACAAAATGGATCTTACCTGATCAGGTATAGATTGTTGTTTTTAACTAGGATCTAGGCTTTTAAATACAGCAAGTTACATGGTAGAGATTCTGCATAGCCAACTTCTTGATTTGAAACATAAGTGATCAGTTAAATTGAGATCTGAGGAGTGACATCTTGTTTATGGTCTTGAAACCATTCTCATATATTTTGTGCAGAGCATATTGTCCAACTGAAAAATGAATGGCTGATCGCAATGTTTCTCAACAGAATGTTGCCTGAACAGTTTTCGTACTGCCTCCACTGACTTATTTTCCCACAATGCGTCTTGGTAACATTATACTTTCGCAAAATAATGATGCACACATTCATATTATTCAGGAGAAAGTTCATATAATTCTGGGTATGATAATAAATTGCATCCTGCAGCAAGACCTCTGATCAGGAGATTGGAGGTTTTCAGGAGTGTGGAATCACCACTTAATTGCTGCTGTTCCCAGGTCTACCCTGACCCAAGGTGGCAGTACCTGTTAGGGTCCCAGCTATGGGAAAATAGTTAACCCCAAACAAAAACAATACAATATGAAAGTATAAAGATACAAGCAAAACAAAAAAATAACAACAAATACAATTTTAAAGCAAAATGACTAACAATACAATTTTATCTGTAGTTGAAGCCATAAAATTGTGTTCAAAATATTTAGATTTTGGCATTAAATAACACATAGAGGTTGATATATCACTAAGCAAAATCTGTGCATTGTAACTTCCCAGTTGGAAAATTGCCAATGAAGAAAATTGCCAGGGTTCTGAATCTATTTACCTGATAGTGCTTTAAAATGAATGAAAAATTTAACTGAAAGCCTTAAAATTAAATGAAAAAAATTATTGATCAATATTTCATATATAAAAAGAATAATTCAGAAAAACTGGAAAAAAATAAAAAATTGTAAATTTTTCAGAAATTAAGAATTTATACAAAAGATAAAAAATATATACAAAAATTTTATTTTTTATCTAAAGGTGTTAAATGCCAATTTTAGTTTATTTGTAGAGATTATTATTTTTAGAATTCATAGGAACAAATCAAAAGAGCTAATACCTACTGTTTGAAAAATGAAGGTAGCCTTACAACAAAAAATGAAGGTACCCCTACAACAAAAAACATCAACTCATTTGTAGGCTTGTTGACGCTCACCAATTTTTTATACCAATTTACAACTTGAAGCAAGCAAATATAAATGAAGAGATTGTAGTTTTAGTTTGAAAAAGCAATTACAAAACAAGAAATGGATTGACTTACTAATATTCTCGTCATTCAGGTTTGACTTCAAATAATAAAATAAGTAGTTATAAAATAAAAGAAATGGTAGTTTTGGTCAAAATTAGTAATAATAAAAAGAGAAATTAATTTTTTTTTTACTTAAATTATCTTTATTTAGATTAGATTCTCTGAACTCTATATTTTAATTTGTTAATGGTAATATTCCAACTGGGAATTTTCCTAGAACCAACAAAATTAACCAAACAAAAATCATAAAAGAGAAACTCTCTTATTGATGCAAGATCCAGTTCCAATGCTTATGTGTCCATTGCAGATACTTTTCATGATGGACATTGATTAGAATTTGGATTCTGACTGACTTGTGGCTGCACAATTCAATATGCAACAAAGATCAAAGAAGTACTGTGTGTTGTGAATCATTCCATCTATCATCTTGATTAAAGCTAATATCTACAATTCGTGTTGCAGTAGTCTCTCTTTTGGATTGTACTTGGTGTAAATGTCTTCATTCTTGGGTTGACCAATGGCTTGTTAATGATTGATGATTTTTTTTCCCTCCTCAGATCATTACTTATAGTTACTGACCATAATTGAACATGTGTGCCTTACATGTGTTTCTTAAATGTTTTGACCTATTCTTCTGACCATAACAATTCAATCTTTTTAAAGTTACTGAAATCTTTTTCATTATCCATAACCGTAACATTCAACACATCAAAATGATGTGCTTGAAGACCATTTACCTTCTTATATAACACTAAGCTTGACAAACACAGTTGTTGTTAGACAGTAGCTGTCATTCTTATGCCACTTGTCATAAGGTTTTTGTCTCATCAGTATATATCTAATTTAGCTGCAGGTTAGAGGTAATAAAAGAACACTGCTATTTTATGACATATTTATTGTTAGTTATTTTAAGTCAGTTGTACAATCGGATGCTGAAACATTCTCAGGCTAACCAAGAAGTAATTCTTCACAAAAAAAAAATCTGATGTTTAGTCATTTGGTCAGCTTTTGGGAAGTTGAGCTGAGACCTTTTGCAGACCAGCTCATTAAAAAAAAATTGCTTGGCATGTTTCTAAATTAAACACCCAAGGTTCAACAGAGAACAAATGATATGATTATTTAGATTTCCCCACCATTACTATTATGAGGTGTGGTCAACTATGATTCATTGATGAACTATGTTATCAACCCATAAGAAAACTTTCACAAAACTATATATATGCACATGCATACTCAACAGATACATGCGTGGGTGATGAAAATCCCTTTGCCCAGCCCACTTCCCAAAGCCTGATTAAAATCAAAATTTGGGAGGGAAGGAGTCTAATTTCCTGGTCATTATATAAGGTGCACCAGATAATTGAGAACAAATTATTAAGAAACAAAGATATTGAATAGAAAAAAATTCTGTTTTCAAAATATTTTGTACACCTATTCACTTTAGAAAAAAAGAATTCATCATTCAATAAGGCATCCTCAGTTTTCCTGCAGAGTAATATGAAACTATATAAACAGATTATGGTGTTCTTGGTCATGTTGGACATTGTATCCAAAATGGTAGCCTTCAATAAATGTTTGGTATTATATGACTGATATATGATTGATCTCCTTCTTGACAACTCCCCAGAGACAACTTACATATATATAAGTGTACCATCCATCCTTGCTTCCATATCTAGTCTAGTGCTCCTGCTATATATTTAGAGATTCTTGATAAAATGCAAAAAAGAATCTGCAATGTTATTGGTCCTGACCTGGCATCTGGGTTTCAGTCCTTTTCCCACTAGCTTAACATAGCTTCCTTGTGTCATGTCTATAAATACTTTCATGGTAATTGTTCAGATGAACTTCACTCCATGGTACCTAGATTTTATGAATTTAAGTGCAGTAATAAATTGGTGTCAATATCTCTTCATTTTACAGTTGAAATGGTTAGATGTAATTGTAAATTTTATGTTCTCACTTGTGGAGCTCTCTTCTGGCTTCTTACTTCTAGTCAACTTTGATCTTCAAAAATTTAATGTCAATCATTATCTTCTGTCTTCTTAATGCTTGTTCTTTTATCGTCCTCTCTCTCTCTCCTTAATAGTAGTTTTTCTCATACCCTATAACACTAAGTAACCTCTTGCTGCTTAGTGGCTTTATTGCTTTGCTTGGGGTGAAATAATTAAAAAATTAGTCCTCCAAGGAATTTAAATCAGGAGATCTATGGGAGATTAACATGATTAGGAAAATTCTAGGCAAGCTACTTCTGAGTCACATGGGTCATATGGGAAAGAGCAATGTCCTGCTGGAATGCCAGGGCTTTAGTCCAGGGATTATTTGAATATTTGTGATAGTGATCTGACACCCTGCAGTAAGAAAGATTGGGATGACACAATCCTTACTAATCAAAACTACTTGGGTCATCAGAGATGATGAGGACATTACCATCGGTATCTCTCTCTGGGGTTTATGCAGAACCAATTATTGTTCAACTTGTTCACTTGACCAATTTCAAAAAGCTTGTTACCTTCAAGTTGCTGTGTTTGATGGTTAGTACTACAACTACATCAGATTTACACTATTTACACTGTTAAGACTGTTGTCCTTTTCTCTATTGCCATAGATGACACAT